AGGACACAGATACGACAAGTAAACAACGTCAGGCAGGAAGGCGCTCTGAAGGCGCTCTCAGTGGCGTTTTGAAGATGAGCGGATGCACAGGAGCGCAAAGCCGCATTGCCGCAGACGTGCATGCAGAGTCCCTGCTTGACGCGCGTTGCGGTTCGGATCATTCAGATTGAAGGGTCACGCTGCTCGTCCAAGAGGGTAATTCTGGGTCTCCTGTATGACTCGGAGAATGTTTCTTGCGCCCTCGCAACTATAGTGTTGTTCCGCTTACCAACCCTGCAGCCATCGTCATGGCACCTCGTAGCACAGTTTCGCGACGTGATAATGGAGACATCTCGATGCACTATCCTCAAGGTATGTCCCGTTAATCATCAACTAGCTCAGCATCGCTAGACACAAGAAACAAATAATTGCACATCGTGTATATGAATGGGCTATTTAGTATTCGTGACAGGAGACTCATTATAAGAGATCTGCTCAAGCTGACAATATTATGCAATTGCCTTGTAGGACAAAACCCAGAGAAAGCAATATTACAGCACTTTCCCTATATAATAGGATGGTAAAGGTCAAGTTTTATATAATTAAGGGATGTAATCCACATGATTCTAAATCACGAGCACAAACACAATACAACAGTGGACCAGGCTACACGCGCCTACAACTAGTTGGCCTGCTCTTGGCATTTCTGGATCGCCGGTTAGGGCTTCCTGAACACTGTTCAACAGCTGAGTATGTATAAAAGCAGGACGTGTTGATGAACAAATAACCAGGCACTATCTGTTGATACATTTAGCCGGTTTGATTTGCATTACGTCGGGTCCAAGTACTACTCACTTTCCTTTAGTATCCTATGTTGCATTTAATACGGGGGTTAAATGTGATCTCATTATATTTAGGTGCTGACATGAGCAGTCTTATAACTCCACATCAATTCGCATTGAAAACACTGAAAGCTCATTACTGGGCTCTTTTACTCTATTTGGAAATGTTTATTTCCTTCAATGTGACTTTCTAATACGTATTATAATCAAGTCTAATAAATAGTATATACACAGGTGTGTTATACAGTAAATTGTAGAATAACTACGCTCTCTCTCCGGAGTGAGCTGGCAGACTAGGAATTTTGTAGATCTGCGCCATGGCATGTCGGCTGATATATGCAGAGAGGTGAGAACTAACGACAGACACATACTGCGGAGAACAGCGACTGTCAACAATGGCTAAAGCGACTCTCATATACAACTTGGATAGTCACTCATCGAGAAGCGTATAAAACTCCCAGTGCTTTCACTGACACAAGCCTACGAGTAGGAGATGATGAGAGGTTACAATGTGCTTGAGGATCAAAGTAAGTTTGTTGACGCCTTTAGGTCTCTGGAGGTCTGTGGTGGATTTCGAGGTACGTTTAGGATCATTATTCTGTTATAGAAACGTTCCAGATGTGCTGTAATTAGTGGAATCCATTCTTCCCTCCACCCGTACAATGTTCCCTGTGCCACTGGCTGTAACAACCCCACAGCATTATAGATCCATCCGTGTTTAACAGTTAACATCCATTCGCTCATGGCCAAAGATCTATTTTAACTTCAGTCCACAGCACTTGTTTCTAGAAGACAGCAGGCTTCTGTAGATGTTCTGCTGTTCTTCTGACGTTGGGTTTCATGATGTGGTAATGTATTCCTCTACTGACTCTAACATGAAGAGTCATCTCTTAATTACATTCACACTGAGGAAACCAGCAGCCGACAATGCTTTGCTATCTTCTTCTAGTCTTCCTGCACTGTGGACATCAATAACTTTCATTATCGGAGTCTCACACAGCTGCTGAACCAATGGTTGCTGAGTGTTCACAAGGTCTGTAGAGTCAGAGTGTTTGTAAAAGGTTGAAAACTGGCCCCAGCTGATGTTTCCTGTTGACCTGCCTCAGGCCTGATGAGCTGATGAAGGTCGCATACAACTGTGTCTATTTAAAGCTATAGTTCCCAAACTTTTTCCTTTACTATTAACTATTTCCTAACAGTGAACTGACGAGCCGCTTTAGAGACATATTTTATGGATATTTTATATTTTATTACAACTGTACAATGAACCCAAACAGTGAATTCAGTAACTGCAAGAAGGTTGTTTAAAACCAGAGAAATCTGATGAATTCTGAGCCGATTATTTCCTGTTTAGGGAACTTTTTAACAATCAAACAGAGTTATTAGGCTTCTTTTGTGATAAATTCAGTGTTTTCTGTCTCAGACGTTTGACCATTCACTTTTCTCCACAGAAGTGATCCAGATGCTGAGATATCGGCCGACTGTGTGAATGTTTAAAGTTTTCTTACACAATAAACGTAATAACAATTACATTTTACATATCAATGATATATTATTATATATATTATATTATATAATATTGAGTACAATCACCTACATTTATCAGTGAATTGATTTGGATTAATTAATTCAATATAAATATTCTTCTTTCTTAGGGATAACAAACACTCTTCACTTTATTTTAAACATCTTAAAATTCACATACAGATAAAAAACATCTTTGCATTATACGTTAAAACAAACATTTTTAATTGATATTAATTTAAATAATTACCACAGAAATCAAGGACAGTTATATTAAATAGATCTGACCTAATACATTTAAAATCTACATAATTTATTACAGTCGATAATTTTAATTTGAAAAATAAGTTAAAAATAACTCTGATCCAACCAAATCTAACTTATCATTATTTTTATTATAACAACAACAAAGAACAGTTCTGACTTCAAATCTTTGTTGTTGTTTTTTCCAATAATGTTCATAAAAAAGGTAAACTTTGACTTCTGTAGATTTGATAATAATTATCGTCTGTAATTAAATTATTCTGGTAATTACTAATAATATAAATGTCCTATTATTGGCCAATAATTGATCTGCCCTAATAGTTATGGTGCATTTTTAATAACAGACTAATAAGGAATTATTAAATGTTTGGTGAACTTGTTGAACACCTAAATGTTTCATTAAAATCAACCAAATAATGAAGCATTTAAAACTGAATGCATTGTGTTTTAGGCTGAATATTATATAATATACAGCCTAATATATATATTATAATATATGTGTATTCAGTCCACGCATCTTTAATTAACGAAGAACGTGAACATCGTTCTCTCTTCCAGGCAGCCATATTTGTTTCTTTCATTTCAGTGTTCAACAAAACTACAACGACGACCTAAAACTGTGAAAAACGCTCAAAGTCGACTTTAACACAGCTGTGGTGTGTTCAGGTGTTTGTGCAAAGGTGGGAATATTAAACAAATGGAAAAATATCCACATTGATTTGTACTTCTCCTCCCCTCCCTCCTCCCCTCCCTCCTCCTCTTCCTCCTCTCCCTCCTCCTCTTCCTCCTCCTCTTCCTCCGCTCACA